TGTTATTTTTAGCAACATCATATGACCCCTTTAAACAACCTACCTAGACACCATTAAAGTAGTGGTAAACGCTCCAAACATCCCATATTGTGCCTAACATGCTGTCTAGGTAGGCTATTCGCTGTATTTTCATACACAGATAGTATATCGCGCGCACAAAATGAAGAACACAGTCTTAAACCAACAACAGGCCGAGGCCTTCTGTGCAGCTAAGGCTTCCTTCACACCACAACCCGTTGATTATTTTTCATTTTTAGTGTTGATGTAATAAAACTATAGTTTATGTAAACTAAATACCCTGTGGTTACTTGTATACCAGAATTTGAGTTGTTTTAGCGCGCTAACTTTGTCCTGTATGCTAACAGGATCACTCCAGTCCACAGAACAGCATGCTAACTACTCAATGAGCTTCTGTAACGTGAGTGCTACGTACCTCTGGGATCCCGCTCAGGGAGAGAACAAAAGTAGAACCGTTACAGACCAAAGACCGAACAACTGTGGCACAACAAGCGGAAACCCAGCGATTCTATATCAAATAATCCTTGTAAAATAAAAACGATGTACGCAACGTTGGCTAGGATGAACAGGTAACGCTCATTTGGACGTCATCGTCACGACCTCGCGATAATATTCGGGGAATGACTGTGGACTACATTTCCCACAATCCCATTCACTCGCGTCACCCATTCTGCAAGTGCGTTTTTGGTGCTTCAAAGTAAGATTTTTTTTGTCTCTTATGCTGCAAGGATGCATTTATTTGATGAAAAATACAGTAAAACAGTGCATACTGTGAAACAGTACTGCAATTTAAAACAACCTTTTTTTCTTTTTTTAGTTATATTTTAAAATATAGACTATTTATGATGGAAAAGCTCCAGTTTTCAGTGTCACTTTTTCCGCGTGTCCTTTATAAATCATTCTAAATCAGTGCTCAAGAAACATTTCTTATTATCATCAATGTTAAAAACAGTTGTGCTGCTTACTATTTTTGTGGAAGCTGTGATTTTTCCCCCCAAGATTCTTTGATGAATATGACAGCATTTATATGAAATAAAAGTATTTTGTAACATTATAAATGTCATTACTGACACTTTTAAACAATTTATTGCATCCTTGCTGAATAAAAGTATGATGAAAATAAAGAATGGTAGTGTATTTTATTTGTTTTTTTATTTATTTATTTTATTTGTGATATTTGTATTTACAGTACAATTGTGGGGGGGGGGCGGGAATCATACAGCTTGCATCTGACTGAATTTACTTTGGATGTAAACTTGACAAAAATAAAAAAAGAGAGAATAAGCCTCACACATTGCGATTTATTTTACATTATTTAATAAATTCTAGTATAATACTGAAAGAATAATTACATGACATCGTTTGGATTTTTTTTTTTTTTTATCAATTCAAATATTGATTAAAGTATTGTCTTGTGTCTTTTAGTCAACTGTGTTTTAGCTTTGAGAGCATCTACTAGTGTACTTCTAAACACTGCCCATTTATGTAGTATGTACTATAATGTATACCATATATAGCTTGTAGAAAGCAGTATGTCACATGAGTAAGAGGTCCGAATACACAGTATTCAAGAAACAGGCAAACAATCCCGAGATTACACATCTGCTGAGATTCTAAAGTGTGCAACCAGTGGACACTTTCCTATCCCAAATGATGGCAGAAATTTGTTGCTAGGTAAAAATCAAGTACATTTTCACTAACTTCACAGTCAAAATCACAACATTAAAAAATCACCGTAAATACTACACAAATAATATAAATCGAATCAGTAAAATACAAGAACCAAAATCCAACCTGTGATAACTGGATATATAACATATGACAAAACACATATCATAGCTGCTGTACTCTGGACACAAGTACAATCTTTGTCTCTTCTGGGAATCTCAGGTGTGTGAGTTGAAATGTGACCTTCACATTTCATCCAGTCAATAGCAATGGACTTTGGGGAAGCAGATTCCGGGTCCAGGCCACCTCTTTTTAAAATCCAGTAGTTTGATTCTTTAAAGAAGTAAGTGTCTCCTGAGGAAAAATACAAACAAAACGATTTGAGGTCCGTTTGAGAGAAAATCATTCATTTAAAAAAATAATAATAATAACATTTTTAATAAAAGAAACATCTTACCATCTACAAATCCAATGATATCATCAGGGTGAGAGGGCATCCCCCAGATGGATGCTGGTTTAGGGTACCCTTCTTCCAGCTTCCTCTCTGTTCTCGACTCATCAAACCTCCAGTACTCACCACCACTGAACAGATACGTTTTCCCATTGTGTGGCCACACAAATACTGCCTCCACCCTCTCTGGGAGCCCTCCTGCAGAAGAGCGTAAACCCCATTCTGAAAGTGGTCGTGGGTACTCAGGGAGGGACACTGTGTCTCTAAATACCCAGTACTGATTACCTGAGAAAGGTATGAAAAAGTAAACATGAAGAAGGAAGAATGAACATGCTTGCATATATATATATGTGTGTGTGTGTGTGTGTGTATAAATACCAATAAAGAAGAGAATATGTCCATCTCTTCTCTCATATACTGCATCAACTCTGGCTGTTTCTGGAGGCAAACCCATCCAGAAGCTGTGGATCAGAGCTGGAGTCAAGGATATTAATGGGCCTGAATGATGTACCCTCCAAAAGTGTGGACCTGATAAAAAGCAAATGGTTAAGGGAGAGGATGATAAACAATATTTTCTTTCACTTTTATAATTTTACAATAACTTTCTATCAGAATTTGTCAGGATATGTTGTGTGAGGATACCATGAGAATCTAATATCCCTCTGATACGTTTACAGTCCACAAATGTTGTAACAAATGTACATTACCAGTCAAAATTTTCATGTCAGTAATTTGAAAAAAAATCTATAATTTTATTCAGCAAGGATGCATTAAATGGATCAAAAGTGACAGTAAAGACATTTATAATATTACACAAGTTTTCTATTTCAAATGAATTATGTTCTTTTGAAGTTTCTATTCGTCAAATAATCCTGAAAAAAGGTCAGTTTACAGTTTCCACAAAATATTAAGCAGCACAACTGTTTCCAACACTGATAATAATGAGAAATGTTTATTGAGCAGCAAGTCAGCAAAGAACGATTTCTGAAGGATGATGTGACTGATGAAGACTGGAGTAATGCTGCTGAAAATTCAGCTTTGCCATCAATGGAATACATTTTTTAAATATATTAAAATAGAAAACAATTATTTTACAAGTTTTTACTGTATTCGCTATATCAAATAAGTGGGGCCTTGATGAGCATAAGAGACGTCATTCAAAAACATTCAAAAATCTTACTGACCCCAAACTTTTGAACAGCAGTGTAAATCAAACATCATACCTCTAAAGAATAAAACCTCTCCTCTGATATTAGCGACTGCATCATAACCTCCCTGACAGCGATCAGCAGAGGCTGGTGGGCTAAAAAAAGAGAAAAGCAGTTAACAAATATAACAATCATTGTCAAACCTGTTGTGATCACAGTGTTACTCACTGATAGGGAGGATTTGGAGGAGCTGGGGTCGAGGAGTGGGACAGATGAGTTGTGGGTGCAACAACAGATGGAGAAGGTTTAAAATCTTGTCTTTTTCCTGTATGGTAAACAGTCATGAGAAAATAGTCTATCTATCTACCTTTTTTATTTATTTATTTATTTTTACATATTAGGGAGTACCATAAAGTGCCTGTATTCTCAGTCTGTCATCAAGGGATAAGGAGTAACTGTGCATGTCTCCCACAGGACCATGATAATACGGATTCATGATGGAGTCATTGGAGGATGAGTGAAACAGGCCTAAAGCATGACCAAACTCATGAACTGCGACTGTGAAAAAATCTGTGGCACTACTCCAATCTGTGGAATTGTAGAAACATAAAACATTTAAGCACTTCTGACCAATCTCCTGTTCTTTTATTCTATCTATTAATATCTGTAGATAATGACGTCAGATCCACAAAGATGTATACAGCATTTAATTTACCTCCATAGCTCCAGCTCTCTCCATCATCAAAGTGTGTGTCACCAGCAAGATCTCCCTTTCCTGGGAAGAATGCATGTGCCAGATTGCCCCCACTGCCATCAAAAGGATATCCATCCTCATGGTAGCTGCTTGCAAAGGTGATTTTGATGTCTATCTGTGGTGATGGGCCATATGGAGGAGGGTGGAAACGCAGAGGTGTGACATCACTCCATACTCGGAGGGCAGAGGTTAAAATGAGCCTCACCAGCCCTTGATGTAAAGTGGGAGACATGGAAGGAGAGGGAAACTCTTGCACGCTGAGGAAAAGAAGGGAAAGATGTGGGATTATTGGACATGAATAGTCTGGTTAAGGTCACATAAATAAAGGCTTCACTGTAAAAAAATAAATAAAAAATTAAGTTCATTAAGCAATATTTTGTTATTTGTTACTTTAACTACCAAAATCTGCTTTTGGTCAACCAGCATAAAATCACAGATGATACAATAGAAAGCCACACGATGAATCAGAGTTTATTGTAAGTGTTCGGTCCATAAAACATGGCCAATACTTGTGTATACTGATGGTGCACAGGTCACACACAAAAACACAAAACACCATCATGGTAACACAAATTACACTAAATAATACAATATTAAATATATAACATAAAATTTGACACAAAACAGCCTAATGTACATTTCTGATCACAAACATGAGCAACAAAAAACATATCAATTACAGTTTTCACTGTATATAAAATTACTTAGTTAACAATTATACCAGGTTTTTACTGTAGAATTTTTACTTTTTTTCTGTAGTTACAAACTGTTTTCTGTAGTTTTTATTTAATTTTACAATGTATAGAATACATTGCTGGAGACTTAAAGATCCCACCTCCAGGTGATGTCAGCCTTGTCCCAGCTCAATCTTGGCAGAGTGTATTTCCTCTTCAGCTTCCCTTTACCTCTTCTCCTTCCTTTCAACAGATCCTCAGAGCTGATGGTGTCCGGCAGAGAGCAGCGAGGTCTGGCCATCAGTTCTAAAGTGGCATGATCTAAAGTTTGACAAAAGGACAAGAGGAATCATCAGAGTTAGTGACAGAAAGATCACGGTACATATGCGCTCTTAAGGGCATTCGTCCATTTGGTTGAACCTAAAGTGTTACAGTACAAATAAGTAAGAAAAAAATCTGTCACCTAGTTTGCCAGTCTCTTCAATACCCGCAAAACACTGCATTTTACGGACAGCTTCTTCAATACCCTCCCTGGTCTGAAGTCGACCAGTTAGAGATTCTGGAGATGGTAAATACCCATACCGAATCAACCAGTCCTATGCACACACACACACAAACAAAAACATTCCGGTTACTAACGTAACCTCAGTTCCCTGAGATAAGGGAACAAGTGTTGCATACACACACTTATGGGGAAACTCCTGTTTACTCTGATACTGAAGCCTGATTTGTTCACGTTTGTGTACCTGCATGAACAAATGGCGCTTCAACCTGACAAAAGGGGAGGAGCTGACTACTATATAAGTCGGCTCAGAGCACCATTCATCAGAATCTTTTGACTGTCAGCGACAGCCATCAACTCGCGTGCAGACTTATAGCATGGCAGCTTACGCAATGCTCGTTCCCTTATCTCAGGGAACCGAGGTTACGTTAGTAACCGGAGCATTCCCTTTCAAACGGTGTCTCCCGTTGCGTGAACACGCTTATGGGGAATGCATCCAATAGCGCCACCCTATAAGTAAATGCAGAACTAAGTCGCTCTGCTCGCCCAGCCCCAAGCTAGCCTGCTGGGGACTACATAGCAAAACCATTTCCACTCAAAGAAGGGATTAGGTAAATTCAAGCACACAAGATCCGTGCCTGGAGGGCAGGGACATCTAAATTATAAAACCTTGTAAAGGTTGACGGTGACGACCAGTCGGCGGCCGCACAGATGTCATCAATATAGATCCCACTGGACCACGCCCAGGAGGAGGCCATCCCTCGAGTGGAGTGGGCCCACATAAGCCAGGGCTATAGCATCGACTATCCAATGAGATCATCGTTGCTTCGTAACTGGCAGCCCTTTAGAGCAGCCTCCGAAGCATACAAAATGCTGCTCTGAGTGCTGAAATGGGCCAGAGCGCTCAACGTACACTCTAAGAGCCCTAACTGGGCAGAGTGGATTGGGACCCTGCTTGTTCTCTGTACTAGGAAGAGCTAGAAGGGTAATAACCTGTGCTCTGAACGGGGTTGACAGCACCTTAGGCACATAGCCGTGTCTTTGTTTGAGGACGACTTTACAGTCATTAGGCCCAAACTCAAGGCATGAAGCACTGACTGACAGTGCTTGCAAGTCACCTACTCGCTTGACCGATGTTAACACCAAAAGGAGGGGGGTCTTGAGCGACAGGTGCCGCAAATTGGCAGAATGAAGCAACTCAAAGGGAGGGCCTTGTTGCGACTATAGATAAGTCTCAGGTCAGCACAGAATGAGGACGAGGCGGGTTCAACCTCCGAGCTCCCCTCAGAAATGTAATGACAAGGTCGTTTTTGTCGACTGATTGGCCAGCCACGGGAGCATGATTCACCATGATAGCTGCCACATACACTTTGAGCGTGGAAGGGGTGCACCCCTTATCCAACAGCCTCTTGTAAAAAAGTGAGCACATGTAGCACTTCACAAAAGGACGGGTCCAGACTGCGTGCTGCACACCAGTCAGAAAAGACTGACCATTTAAGGGCGTAGAGGCGTCTTGTAGACCGTGCTCTAGCCTGCAAAATGGTATTAGTTACACTCGCGGAGAGCTGTAAAGGTTCCCGTTGAGTGGCCAAACATGAAGGTTCCACAGTTCGGGCTGAGGATGCCAAATCATTCCTCTTGCTTGCGAGAGTAGGTCTCTCCTCAATGGTATCGGCCAGGGGGCTGCCCATAGCAGCTGAATCAACTCAGGGAACCATGTCTGATTCCTCCAGAGTGGGACCACCAGGAGGACCAAGCATCTGACTTCCTTGACCCGTCTGATGACCTGAGGAAGCAGGGCAACCGGGGGGAAGGCATACAAGCAAGCGCTGGGCCAGTCGTGGGCCAGGGCATCTCACTGCTTCGAAAAGTAAATTGGGCAGTGAAAGTTGCCTTCTGAGGCGAAGAGGTCTACCTCTCCCCTCCCGAAGACAGACCAGATCATTTGAACCGATTGGGGATGTAGTCTCCATTCGCCTGATGCTACATTGCCCCTGGACAGCATGTCCGCTCCTTGGTTCAATCTGCCCAGCACATGAACTGCTCTTAGCGAGAGGAGATAGCGATGTGCACATAAAAGGAGGTGTCGCGCCATCCTGTAAAGGGAGCATGACCTGAGACCACCTTGGTGATTTATGAAGGCTACCACCGTCATGTTGTCTGAGCGGACCAGGACGTGATGCCTCTTTAAGGTTTGTAGGAAGGCTTTCAGGGCCATCATTTCAAGGCAGTTGATGTGCAAGCTTTGCTCCAGGTGTGACCAAGAGCCAAACACCGGTCTGCCCTCGTACAGTGCTCCCCAACCTGGAGGCATTTGTCATGACTACCTTCCTCCTGGAGGTCAGCCCCAATGGGACACCTGACTGAAACAGGCGAGAAATTCTCCAAGGGGCCACAGCTTTGATGCAGTGGTGGTTTAGCCTGAGACGAATATGCCCTAGGCGCCAAGCGTGGGACGGCACATGGCCTTTGAGCCAAAATTGAAGGGGCTGCATGAGAAGCAGGCCCAGAGAAATCACAGAGGAGGCGGCTAACATAAGGCCAAGCATCCTCCTGAAAATCTCTGAGGGGACACAAAGTCCTGCATTTGAATGCTGGTGCTAGTCGCTGAACCATCAGAGAGTGTTCCAGCATGATCCATGCTCGCATTTGGGCTGAATTGATCACTGTCCCCAGGAAGACAATTCGCTGGCTGGGAGTTGTGTCACTGAATCTTCCACTGCCAGGTGCTCTTCTACGGCGAGCAACAGGCTGAGCTTCTTTGCTTCATCTTCTTGCTTCGACTTCTTGCTTCAGAGTCCATGCGAGGAGATGTCTTCTTCGCTGAAGGAGAAAAATTCTGACGAATGGAGCTCTGAGCCAACTTATATAGTAGTTGGCTCCTCCCCTTTTTGCGGGTTGAAGCGGCATTTGTTCGTGCAGGTACACGAACGTGAACAAATCAGGCTTCAGTATCAGAGTAAACAGGAGTTGAGGTACAATTGGAAAGGGAACTCGCATACATTGTTTGAATATATTGTGAAGTAGTATGAAAACATTATTTTCCCATTTTCTATAATTATGTTGGAGTCATAAGACCCCTGATAAGAGGAAAGGGTACTGTGCATTGTGTTCTGATAAAAATAGACAGGATGTTATGAGCTTCGGTGTGGGTGAATGAATAAAGGGAAACATTAATTGCAATAAATAAATAAACCATGCATGTTATGGATCCTCAAGATGTTTGTTCTCTTAATCATCATCAGGGCTTCCCTTTACTCAATCTTTTCTTGCTGAGTTGACAAATCATCGAATCACCAGCATGTTTTCTGATAATGTTTTTTTTTATTACTGTGCAAGCAACACAACATCTCTCCAGCACAAACATCAGTAAAGTAACAAAGAAATGCCTATTCCTAGTTTATGTAGTTTATGGTTTATGAAACCAAACATACAGCACTACTCTGTATATTATATTACCAGTCTTCTGCTGCCATGCTCGTGAACAAATCAGGCTTCAGTATCAGAGTAAACAGGAGTTGAGGTACAATTGGAAAGGGAACTCGCATACATTGTTTGATGAATTGATTAAAAAATGTTCTGAAAGCACTGGAACACACAAACATGAAATTTACAAAGACTGTTTATAGAGAACTGTATAATCTAATTTTAATCTATTTAAAAATCTACACAATTTGTTTCAGATTTGTGTTATGATAGCTTGTGTATTATTTACAGTTGTATTTGATGTTGATTAGATTATACATCCAAAATTGATCAGAAACGTAATTTATTTCATTGTTTTGTTTGAAACAATTTTAATGTTGAAATTTTATGAGCATGATCCTCAAAAATGTATCTGAAAATCAATTCCAGGCGACAACTATTGCCCCTTAAAAACATTTCTGACATTTATCTGATCTACATTGCATACGATACACATGAAAATAATGTATACATTAAAATGCTGTATACATTAAAATAATTAATTGCATGCTTATTTTCATAGAGAGAACAGAGAAGATTCTCACCACTCCTCGCGCGTATTGATCTGGCATCAGCGCAGGTCGCGCGCTCACAACACTGAGAAGCGCGGCGCCGATCATTGTAAGAACTGCGGTCATGGTCATTCAGTGTGATACGCACGGGTCGTTCACACTCTCAAAACTACCATATTAAGTGCAAAAACGCAAAACTGTTAATAGCGAATCACAAACATATCCTTGAGCACAATTAAAACAGGTGAAATTTGTTAACATTAGGCATCTAGAAAAAAAAAAGACGCTATAGTCACTGAGAATAGCATGTATTCTTCATTCGTAGTCACGCTTTGACCGCCGTTTCAGATTACTTCCCAAGAGAATGGGTGTTGTTTTGATCAATACTGTCCTGGCTGCACCTCCCTCTCTTCCCCTCAGTGGGAGCATCCGTCTAAATGTGTGACCGACCCCTGATCACGGGTTGCTGTGTATGAATAACCATATGGCACATATATGGCCATTAAGTGAAAAACTATATATTGCAGTTCAATTGTTCTGATTAGTATGACTTTTAAAGAAATTAATAATTTTATTCAAAAATGACAGTCAAGACATAATGTTACAAAAGATGAAAATATAATAATATAACGAAAAAATATTACTGTTTCCACAAAAAAAATTAAACAGCACAACTGTTTTCAAAATTAATAACAATTATACATGCTTCTTGAGCAGCAAATCAGATTATTAGAATGATCATGTATCTCTGAAGATTTGAGCAATGACTGCTGAAAATTCAGCTTTGCCACTTTGCCATCACAGAAATGAATTACATTTTGAAACACACACACACACAATTAGAATGATCTCTGAAGATTTGAGCAATGACTGCTGAAAATTCAGCTTTGCCACTTTGCCATCACAGATCACAGAAACATTTTGAAACACACACACACACAATATATATATATATGAATGAAATATTATAAATAAATAGAGGATGCTGTAGACCATGACTGTTCATTTACACCAATCATGCAAATAGATGCCAGAAAAAAAGTACAGTCAAATGTCCAGATCAGAAAATTCACTAAATCCATCAGTAGTTATGCCACCTAATGATCACAAAACTCAAGTTCAGAAAGCTGTGTCTTGGTGAAATAAGTTGTTGTAGTTCAATTATTAAGGTATCGTTATGTTCCTGAAGTTATCATTATGACAGTGAGTTTTCCTTATTCACTAAAAAAAATCATAAAAATGTAGAAACTCGCTGACTTTCACCATTAAAACTATTCTAGAAGTGTTCAATCTCAGAAATGGTACCTTGGATTGCGATATTAAAATGTATACAACAGTTATTATTTCGTCTTGTTTAACACATCTTAACTGCCCTGCTCAGCTAAAAATGGACTATTATATTTTTTCTTAAACCACTATTTTGGACTTTTTCAATTTCACTATTCTCTTAAAAAAAAAAGAAAATTTGAACCTTAGGTATCCTTCGTTCAAAGAGTGAAAAGACATGATGCTGTGTGGGGTTTTGGGTATATTTTTTGTAATTTAATCTCCTTTGGAGCAAAGGTCCCATCTGAACCATTTT